GTTCGATCCTCAGCACCACATACCAACAAAGATGTTGTGTCTGCCGAGAACTAAGAAATAAAATATTAAAATTCTCTCTCTCTCTCTCTCTCTCTCCTCACTCTCTCTTTAAAAAAAAAAAAAGAGCACATTCACATAACCTTTATTACAGTAAGTACACTACTGAACTGTCCCATTGCATTATTGCTGTTAACCTCTTTTTTAAAAAAAATATTTATTTTTTTAGTTGTAGTTAGACACAATATCTTTATTTTTTATGTGGTACTGAGGATTGAACCCAGGACCTTGCACATGCTAGGCGAGTGCTCCATCGCTGAGCTACAACCCCAACCCATTAATCTCTAATTTTTAAACTGAACTTTATCACAGGTAATTATGTATAAAAGAAAACAGTGTACACAGAATTTGATACCATCTAGGATTTCAGTCATCGATTGAGGGCCTTGTAACATAACCCTCTTGAATATGGGGGAATAGTATCTGGAAATATTAGGATGCAATACAATGTGTCCTTGGACATTTCATCTAGTAATAGACACAACAACATTTCCTATGATTACCTTGGCTCTTGATTTCAGGTGTCGGAGAGCTTAGCTCCCATCTTGCCCCTTCAGTATGTCTGTGCACCCGACAGTGAACACACATTACTGGCAGCCCCTGCGCAGTTTCTCCTGGAGAAGTTCCTTCAGCATGCTGCATATAAACTCTTCCCCAAAGCCATCCATAACTTTAAGAGTCCTGTGCTGGCCATTGACTGCTACCTTAACATTGGACAGGAGGTAAAGGTGGGGGTGGCTAGTACTGTGCTTACCTATATCCATTTCTTTCCCATTTAACTTGATTTGAAAACTTAAATGGTGACAAAAGGAAGTCTATAACATACTCTGCAAAGGCTCACATATGAGGTAATGGCAACTCATCCTCATCCCTATTTCATCTTTACAGAATGAACCAGTGACCAATCATAGCTTAGCTCAGATGTCCTATAAGAATCCTACCTCAAAAAAATAAATAAAATAAAAAATAATCCTACCTACCTCAATGACATTGGGCAGAAGCAATTTCTAGCTCCCACTTGACTTGACATTTATTAGACACTATTATAATTACATGAATCTATTCCATAGTACTGCAATTTTCAGAGAAAGTACCTTAAAAACCATTTGATATAATAATACTCTTGATGTTATCTATATAAATTATGTGTGTACCCCAGGTCTTCCAATTCCACTATCCCAGAGTCCAAAGCACTCAGTATTAGATAATCTCAATACTACTCTACTACTAACAGCAACTAACATTTACTGAATGCTAAGTGGTTTACATTAATTTAACTCACAAATGCCTTATGAACCAGGTAACATTTTTCTCAATATAAATGAATCTGCTCCATAATACTGTAATTTACATGAGTAACACTAAGGTGTAGCAAAATACATTTTCCCAGTGCCATACAACCACTAAATAGAGAAGTCAGAATGTGAACGCAAGCTGACAGGCCCACACATTAGCCATTCCACAGTTCTACTCCCAACTACTTTATAACTTCACAAAAATCACAGGGAAGTATACATTGTGCATCTGCAAGCTTTATAGAGCTAAAATTTTAAATTCATGCAGTCTGCACCTCCTGGGGATTAAACCTAGATCCTTGTGCTTTTTTCAGTAAGACAAACTCATTCAGCTAAAATGCAGGTGATCTGCTTGCTTTTGAAATCCCCATGCTATTTCTGCTTGTTGCTTTCAGGTGGCCATATGCTACATCAGCTCCAGACCCCACTCCAGCAATGTCAACTGTGAAGGGGTGTTTTTCAGTGGACTCCTTTTGTACCTCTGTGACTCTTTTGTAGGTGCTGATCTTCTTAAGAAATTTAAGTTTTTAAAAGGTAAATCAAATTAAGTATCTTGAATATGAATGTCACTGGTTCCCACTAGGAAAAAATTCAGAGGTTTTTTTCTCTTTCTTTCTTTAATGCATTTCAACACTGATTTTGGCCAATAATTTGGATACTTGGTTATCTGGTTATCTTGATTTTAAACCAGAGCCACTGAGAGGAAAAAAGATCTTGATGATTGTTATCTATAACTAAATGCAGGTGAACAGAGTTGTGACAACATTAAATACAGTTTTGCCACTATTAATTTTAGGAAGTAATTTAAGAATACATAATGCTCCTCCTTAATTAAATAGTTAAACAACTTATGTTAATGAGTCTACCCATGTTTATAGTAATCTGAACATAACATTGCTTGAGTCAGACACCAGCTGCAATAAATGTGTATAACTGCATCCTCTGACATAAATCCTTAGTTATGAATCTGGTACAGAAACTAAAGATAATTTTAATAGGCAAATTTAACTCTATGATGCATACCTAAGAACAAACTGTAGGTTAAGCATCACAAATCCTGGCATGATGGTTTCTGAGGTCAGTGGAAAAAAAGGTTCAGAAAACGGTGTGTGGCATAAGAACAAAGAAAACTCCACTTATTTGTGTACATATGTAGTTCTAAACTGGGAAGTTGGGATCTGACTTTCAGAAGACATTTGACATTGTCTGAAGATATTTTTTTTGGTTGCCACATTGGGAAATACTGCTGGCATATGGTGGGCAGAAGCCAGGGATGCTGCTTCACATTTTAAAAAGCACAGACTAGTCCTCCAAAACAAAGAATTATCCAGTCCAAAAGTGCTATGGTTGAGAAACCCTATTCTAGAGGACACACAAGACACATAGATAGCACTGGTTACTACAGTTCAGTGAATTCTCACCTTACAATCTCAACTTTTTAATTTGCAAATCTACTTAGAGTAAAAACCTGAACAATCCTGATATGCTACTTACCTATAGATTTCATTCTCAGAAGTTTTGGGAATACATCAAAGAGAAATAGTAAGGTTATAAGTTCAATCCAAGAGCCTAAGACACATTTCTGCCTTTTCCCTGAAGGTGCTACTCTATGTGTCATCTGCCAAGATAGAAGCTCCTTACGCCAAACAATTGTCCGCTTAGAGCTAGAGGACGAGTGGCAATTCCGCCTCCGGGATGAGTTTCAAACTGCCAACAGCAACGATGACAAGCCTCTTTACTTTCTTACTGGACGTCATGTATGAGCTTTGGAAGAGACCAAAAATTGCAAAGTGATGCCTAGCTGGGGTGGGACAGAAACAATTATTGGGGGATTTTTTTTTTCTTTAAAGTACAATCACTGTGGAGCAAAGTGCAACATATTTGTCTATTCTCCAAAGAACTCCCCAAATCTAACCAAGTCTTTGGGGACATCACTCTCCTTCAGTTCTAATTACAGGACCCTACATTCAGGCGAACTCCACTGTAGGCAATTATGCAGTTACTTAAGTTGTGGTCTGCCTGTGGGAGCTTAAGGAGGATAGACTTTGGAGAACAAACATGGAGTTTGCATTGGTTTTTTTCTACTATACTGCATTGGGGGGGAAAACTGTCAGCATTAGCTTGCTTGAATGTGTTACATGAGATACACCATTGGTGTGGAAATAATTGAAGATTAACATTTGAGGCCTGAACCCTCAGTTTCTCTTCAGATCTGTACTTTGGTACAGTATTACTCAGGGGTGTGAAATGATAGAATGTAGAAGTTATTTGTATTTAAAAAAAGTAGTTTTGTCTTTTTCTGTGCAGTGTTAGTTTAAGATTTATAATCTTTTATGTATTGAAACTTTTGGCAAAATTTCCACAGGAGTTAAGAGTTTACTATTTAAACTGAACAAACAAATCAGTAAATGCAGAGCAGGCATTGTGTACATTTATGAAGAGTCTCCTAGCTTAATTCTTTTGCTTTTCCCATTCTTTAAAAGTTTCCAGTCTTAAAACACACCATGTCTAAGAGAATATGGAATAGTGATTAATCTTATTTAAGAACCTGATTAAGCAGTTGGGCCAATTAAGCAGCTTTTAGGAGTTAACCTGTACCCATCCTGTTTTGGTTGAAAATAAGCAGCTAGCACTAGGCAAACCTAAATGTCAAGCTGAGGCTCTGCTGTGGAGTAGAACGAGTCGTGCCCCCCCGCTCCGCCCCCCAAACTCAAGCACAGCTTTCTTAAAAAAACAAACAATATTAGCTGCCTTACACTGACAACACAGAAAGTGCTGGAATGGGAAATAGAGCCATGGAAAGAGAGAACTATTTTACTTAATTCTACCACTGACATTTTTGTGAGGAGTAAAAAAGATGCCAGGAGTTTTTGACTCAAAATCAGTACATGATGTCTGACCAATATAAAAAGTAGGATTTCTCACCAAATATTTTAATGAAGAGCAGATTCTAGGAAATATTCTAGAGTAGTCTATTTGAAGTTTATACTTATATTACTCCGGTTCTCATCATTAAACAATCTCTTGAGATTTTTTTGATTTGCCCACGTGTATCACTTTATCCCCACTTAAAATGGCCTTTGTTACTTGAATCTGTTTAGTGACCTGAAACTACTGAGAGGGGCCTACGAAGCCTGCATTTACTTAGAACAAATAGTATTTTATCTTGTGATAACAAGGAGTTTACAGCTAGTGAAAAGATGGAATGTATTAGACTGAAAATGGCTTGCAGATCTCTTGGTTTTAATATAGCTACTTTTAATGCTTTAAATGTATTTTGAAATGAACAATTCCTTTTAATCCCCTTTTTGTCCTTCAAAGAAGACCTGCCTTATTATATATGCTTTAAAAACTTAGTATAGCAGAATTTTTAGCAAAGAGGTACGTTCTAAAGCAACTTGGTGTAGATATGAATGTATTTCATTTTTTCCTGATTTGTTGAAAGGGCCTGATGCAGATGATATCAAAAAACCCACTGTTTGTGCAATATTCCAATAACATTTACTATAGGGCAAATAAAATACTTGAAGTAGTTCTAATTTTACCTGGGGCAGATGGCCTCTCAGTGTTTGTTCTGGTTTTATGTATGATTTCATGGTCAAGGTTTTTTTTAAGTTTCTTTAGATGCAGGTACTCCACGTTAGGGCTGCACTCTAAAAATTCAAATTATTATGAGTTCAGAACTACTATTCAACTCTGTGGAAGAGAAATGCCAGAATAAAGTCCAACACATCAACTCGATAGTGGAGAAATTTAAGTTGACCTGCCTAATTTTTTTTTTTTTTGAAAGCCTCTTAAATCACTTTATCACTCTTAATTCTTTAGAGAATGTTAGGTCATCTCTAAGGAGAAAATTGCACAAGCACAGGACACCATGATTTGTTAGTGTATGTGTTCAGTTTATGCTTTTCCACCCCTTAAAACACTAGTGTGGAGTGAATGGATTCACTAGGCCCACACAATAACTCACCTACACACCTGCTAAAAACTATGGCATGTATGTATGACAGTTCACACAGGTTAATACTAAATGTAAACTAAAAATTAGAATTGTAGTTGTCAATTTGGTTTGGCTGTAATTTATGCAAATGCTTTTTGTGACTTTTAGAAAAAGGGGTACCTGTGTTACATAATTACTGTAAAATTTTAACCAAAATTTGGTGAATTTCACTAGTCAGTCTACCTCACGTTTTGTTGATGATTCTAAGTTGTCGTTAAGTTGTGTCTACAGTATGTTCTTGTCCTTTCATTTAATTTGGTGAATGTATTAAAATTCTCTCCCACTCCCCACCCCCCAAAATAGTTTGTTTTCTTTAAACTAATTTTCTATTATGTTAAAAAAACAGAATGTGCTCTCAGACTCTGACAACATCCAAAAAAGCTTGGAAATACCAATATTATAGGATGGATGACTCAAAGATTCTTCTATTCTGGCACAAAAGTCCAAGAAAGTAGTAGATAAATATTTGTTGAATGAAAATCTGTAGCTCAAATACATACACACACCTAAAGTATCTATAGACCCATTTGTAGAGTTGCACATAATTATATATGACAGACCTAGAAATGATTAAAGAATTAGATATTCACACTACCTCCCCCATCTTTTATAGATGGCAACTACACTCAGTTTGGTATCCTACTCAGAAACACAGTGTTGGGTTTACTAGAACTGTATTTTGATACAAAATATATACTGTTAACTTCCAATTTATTTCTAAACTGCCTGATTTTATCAACTCTTGAACCCGTTATACTCTCTTCTAGGCTAAAGCCCCTTGTCATTTACCTCAGGAGAGACAATATAATATTTCTAAGCCTGATAGCAGACTGACAGGAAACAGACTACCTGTTTTCCTTCTACAGCATATTCCCAAGCAGCCACCCTGAAAAGACTAAACACACCCAAGGCCAAATCTTCACATTCAACTACCTAGATAGACCTGGACTAACATCCTGGGAACAAACATTTCTCAGGCTTCTCTTCACACATGAAAACTTACCCTGCCTTAAGCTTCCTCTGGGTCTAGGAGAATACTGCTACAACTGAAGCCTTGGCCTCACTGGAAAAGTCAACACCAAAGATGATTTCAGGAACAGTTAGTAAGGTCAAAGAAAAACCTTTCACATAATAAATTCACTATACTCTTAACTAGCAAATTCTAAGCTAAAGCATCTACTCCGGGGCCTATGACAACAGATGGAACAAGTTCTAAGAAAGAAAAGGCAACCAGTAAGTCATTCTCTGACTACTTCATTCCTTAAGTAGCTCATGTATTTTATTTTTACTAGGAGGGTGGTAGGGGTGAAGGACTGCCTTAAAACAGAATTCTTCCCTTTTTCTGTTAGAAGGCTCAAGGGTCATGAGAAAGACACAGTTCTGTAGTCACTACCCTAGGAATCAACTTAGCAATCTTAACCCTAGGTGAAGTGTGGGTGGTTAGGAATATGGCTGTATTTCATCCAAAGGGATAAGACTCCCTTGCTGGGCAACTCCAAGTAAGTAAGAACAATTAAAATACCATTACAATGGGACTGGGGATGTGGCTCAAGTGGTATCGCGCTCGCCTGGCATGCGTGCTGCCCGGGTTCGATCCTCAGCACCACAAACAAACCAAAGATGTTGTGTCCGCTGAACACTAAAAAATAAATATTAAAATTCTCTCTTTTAAAAAAAATACCATTACAAGTCTGTTGTACTCATTGTTTGTACAGTAGTCAATATATATTAAGATACACCAAATTCACTCTTACATATTATGAACTGGTAAAATACTTTTTATAATTCTTACTAGAGAAAATAATCATTATATGTGTACACAGATATGGACATAATTCATCAAATCTCATGGTTGCTATGTCTATATGTGAGATACTTTTGTAAAGCACCAACAACTATTGGAGGGCAGCTAACAAAAAAATTTATGGGCACCTTCATATAATCAGCAATTACAAAATCACTCTTTCCTGAAGTTTGACTAATTAGTCTATACTCACTGTGGCCACTCCTTCCTCCACCATCCCATAGACATTGCTCATTCTAATGTCACTTGGACTATCTTCAGTCTTCATTTGTGGTATGGCAATGTTGACCATTCTCTGATTTTTGAAACTCTTCTCTAAACCACTCTCTTCTAGCTGTTACTTTGCTCTTGTCTTCTTAGGTACTCTTCTTTGAGATAAATAATGGTGTTCCTCATGGATGTCTTCCGCCTTCTCCTTTACAGACCCCAAAATGATCTCTTCTAAACCTTCAAACACACCAGGAGTGGTGGCAGAAACCTGTATGGGAGTCTGAGGCCCTAAGCAACTCAGAAAGACTCCGTCTCAAAATATAGATATAGATAGGTAGGTTGGTAGATAGATAGATAGGGGCTGCGAATGTTGTTCAGTGGTTAAGCACCCCTGGGCTTAACACCCACCTCCATCAAAAAAAACAAACAAACAAAAAAATTCGAATAACTGAACTTACAAGTTTATTTACTCAGCCCAAACCTCTCTTAAACTACTCTAAATCCACATCTCCAAATGTACACTAGACGAATACTTACACTTGGAGGTTCTGTAACTACCTTAAAATCTTGATCAAAACCAAGCTCACTGTTGACCATCAAATTTTCCCAACCTTGTTCTTATTATCATCTCAATAAATCCATATACTTAATTATCCAACCAAACTTCCCACATACCCTAGACTTTCTGCCACAGAGGACTTTTCCAGCCAGTCATAAATTCCAATTAACTTCAGGGGCACTCATCTCTTCTTCATCCCCATATCACAGCTTCAGTTCAGTGTTTCAACATTTTTCACAATCATTACAATAGTATCAATTATCTTTGAAATTATAGATGCCTCTCCTGTAATCCCTGCTTTATAGGATAGTCATGATGATTAAGGTAAATAATGCACAAAATACAGAATCTAGCACAGCAAATACTCAAATGTTAGGTACTACAATAGTACTACTATTCTTAGAGAAATACCTAGATTATAAAATTTATTTGAGGGACTGTGTTTTCAATAAAAACGTGAAAATAAATTGTTTTCCTGGTAAATGGTTAACATTTAAAGCAACCAATTAATGTATCCTCTCTGCCCATGGGTCTCCTTAAAACCACCAAGTGTGGCTTGCCAATCAAAAGTATTATACTGTGGCTCATGTGGAAATGGAACCTGTATTATGAAGTTAACCAGTTACTAGGGAATCTATATGGTACCCCAAAATTTCTTCTAAAAATTCATGGGACCTTGCCGGGCACAGTGGTGCATACTTGTAATCCTGATGATTCAGGACGCTGAGGCAGGAGGATTGCAAGTTCAAGGCTAGCCTCAGTGAGGCCCTAAGCAACTTACTGAGATCTGTTCTCAAAATAAAAATAAATAAAAAGGGGTTGGGGATGTGGCTCAGTGGTTAGGTGCTCCTGGGTTCAATCCTCAGTATCAAAACCAAAACAAAATTCAGGCAAACAATGAGTCCAGTGATGACTAGAAGAGTCTCAAGTCAGGCCATCATGATGACTCAGAATGAACTATTTATCCTGTCTTACCGTCCTATCATATAAAAAGTACAGTCTCACAACACTCTATAAATAAAAAAAGCACAAATCTATAGGAAGATAAAATGTACACCTGTTAATATTAACTTAAGGCCCTTAATTTTAGCCAGTTTTCAAGGAAAATACAATCATTTACACTCACAAAAATAATCGAAGTGGAACCATAGTGATTCTTCATCCTCGGGCTATGGCCCTTTATTTCCTTGAAAGATCAGAAAAGTGCAATGTTACTAAAATAATCAGAAGGGATTTTTCCTTTTGGAGATAAAGTTCAGCAGAGTTGCTGATAACATAAGGATCCGTTGGGAAACTGGTGAAAACTACCAGTTTAAGAACCCAGTGTTTTAATCATATTTCAAGATCTAAAACCTAAGAAACTCCCTGAATAAGCACAAATGACAAAACAACATTATCTTAGTACATTTATCACTTAGAAAAGACTAGCAAGTATTTTATTATTTTATTCTACATTATATACAGATCATAAAAGGCCACAGCAGTTTTCAACATATAAACCCTTTAAAAGTAGAGGGCACTATGAAGGATAGACAAGTATCAAAATGAAGTCCAGTAACGAGGGCATATACTCAGTGCAGTATTTTTGAGGAATAACAGAGCAGATACCAAGTCATCCATATTTAGCTTACAACTGTTCCATGTTTACATAAGCCTTTTGAGTGTTAACAGCCCAGTTGTGGCAAAAGTTGCCATTAAAAAAAGAAGGTATACCCAGAATGAAATATTGAACTTAAAAAGTACCCTTCATAATTCTAGCCATTTATAGCTCTAAAAAGTAGGAAAACCTCAAATTTTACCCCCTTACAATTCAATCCATCAAAGGTAGAAAAGAGAAATGGAAGGAAAAGTTCACTATTCCAAATTCTCTCTGACTATTTGGAATTTTCTTTTCCTTTAGGGGTTTCTTCAAAGTATACATGAGGCCTTTTAAGAATCAGCTTCAAATTCCTAGACACGTAATACTGCAACCTCCTTAAATAATAATTGAAAAACACTGGTTTCCACTCTGAAAATACAATCTTTAAACCTATAACTGGTATCAGCAGATCAATATAAAAAAATACAGTACCAAGCTACACTGGTATATTTCCATATTAAGAACTTCAAAATATACTTATCACTGAGACCATAGTCCTTGCATTAGTTTTCAGTCCACTATGAACAATTATCTGCTGCATGTAAACATGTCTAAATAACTATAGATAAAATACATCAATCATAAATTTCTGTAAAAGATAATAAAATATCTTCTTTAAAAAACAAAACAATAATAAGCTATTACTGCATTGTTTCCAATTTTATGAAAATGGAACAACCACGTGGTTGTTGCCAGTCCTGAGTTCATTGTAATAAAAATGGCCCTAGTTCCTGGTTAAAGTCAGCAACCAATCCATTCTCTTCAATAGATGTCTTCTAGTACTGTAGACAAGCTTTGTTTAAGTAGTATTCTGTCCATTAATAAAATTATATACCAGAAATTGACCAGTGCCACAGTACTGTGTTGCAAACAATTTTCCATCAGGAGTGGGATCTGAGAAAGCAATTTCTTCTTTACTCAAATATGAGCCATATATAAAGTTACTCCTATTAAAAAAAAAAGGGGAGGGGGGAGAATGTGAAAAGTTAAAAAATCATTATTATTTCTAATCTTAAAAAAATCTGTCAAATTCATTTTGACTAGAAAGACTTTCAGATAATGATACCTTATTCTAAAGACTGTTGAAGTAACTGTGCTTCTAAAATATTATCAATTATTTGAGGTTAAAAAGTTTTTAAATAAAAACAATGTAAAACATGGACCCAACATCTTGTCATGATAAAAATACTCAACAACACAAGGAAATTCCTCAACTTTCAAAGACATCAAAGACCATCAGATTTAATGACAGAAGACTGAAAACTCTTCCTCAAAGATCAGGAACAGGAAAAGGGGGCTCCTGTGTTTTGAATATTATACTGGATGCTCTAGTCAGGGCAATTAGATATTAAAATATTAAAAAAAAAAAAAAGCATCCACAGTAGAAAGGGAAAAAAATTATCTCTTTTGATCTAAGGTTGTGGCTCAGTGCTTGCCTAGCATGCACAAAGCCTTTGGTTCAATCCCTAGTATTACCAACAATTTTTTAATTAGATTTAAAAAATTTTTTTTAATTATCTCTTTCACAGATAACACAACCTTGTATAAAGAAAATCCTAAGGAATTCACACACAAAAAAAAAGATATAATAAGTGACTTCAACAAGATTGCATATTCAAGACTGATATTCAAATATCAATAATATTTGCTACACATCTGTAATGAACAATCCAAAAATAAAACTTAGGAAAAAATTCCACTTAAATCAACAACAATAAAATACTTAGTAATAAACTTAATAAAAGAAGCACAAGACCTATGAATCAAAAACTACTAAGTACTGTTAGAATGAAAGACATGATATTTTTTTAATTCAAAACACACTACTACCAAAAATAAAAATAAAATAATTAGGGCTGGGGTTGTAACTCAATGGTAGAGCACTTGCCTAGCATGTGGGAGTCACTGGGCTCAATTTTCAGCATGCATATAAATAAATAAAATAAAATAAATAAAAATAAAATAAAGATCCATGGGCAACTAAAAATTATATATATATACACACACACACACACACATACATACATATATACACACACCCACACCCATACATACATACATATACACATATATAAAATGTAACAGAAAAGTGCAGAGTTCAATACTTGGTAAAAGGATAGAAATATAGATCAATGGAATCTGGGGTGCAGCTCAATGGTAGAGCACTTGCCTTGGCTAGTATGTGAGAGGCCATGGGTTCAATCCCCAGCACTATCTCCAAAAAAAACAAACAAACAAGGGAATACAATCCAGATATAAATCTTGACATTTACAGTCAATAACTTTTTATAATCTCACCAAGACTGACCACTCAAGTGAGGAGAATAACTGGTCCCTTTAACAATAGTGATGGGAGGATAGAATATCCACATGCAAAAGAAGTATATCCACATGTGATATCCTACCTCATATCACACACAACAGTGAATTCAAAATGGATCAAAGACCTATATGTAGGAACTAAAACTATAAACTAAATAAGACATAGGTATTAATCTTTGTGGCCATGGATTAGACAATGGCTTCTTAAATATCACAAAAAATAGAAATGACAAAAAATATCAATTGAACTTCATTCAAGTAAAAAACTACTGTACTTCAAAGGATATCATCAAGAAGATGAAAATAACCACCACAAAATAGAAAATTTTTACAAATCATACATAGGACAAGGAACTTGTTTCAGAATACATAAAGAGCTACTGCAACTCAACAACATTTTAAGGGATATAGGATATGAACAGGCATTTCTCTAAAGATGATCTATTAATGGCCAATAATAAGCACATGAAAAGTTGTTCAACATTAGTTATTAGGAAAATGCAAATCCAAACCACGATGAATTACCATTTCATATCCACTAAATAGCTAAAATATAAAAAGACAAACCATAACAAGTACTAGTGAAGAAATTATGAGCTTTCATACATAGGGAGAATTATAAAATGGTACAGACACTGTGAAAAAATTTGGCAGTTTCTCAAAACATTAAACACACAACTAAAATATGTTCAGCAATTCTACTCCTAGTATACATCCGAGAGAAATAAAACATACATTATTTACACAAAAGTTTGTGCATGAATGGTCACAGCAGTGGTATTCAGGATAGCCAACAAGTGAAAACAACTCAACTGTTCACAAATTAATAAATGGATAAATAAAATGCATACTAGTACATAAGGTTTTATTATTTGTCAGTATAATAAAAAAGAATGAAGTACACTGATACATGCTACAACATGATGACATCTGAAAACATTAAGTAAAAGAAACTATTCACAAAAGGTAGAATTCCATTCATATGAAATGTTCAGACTAGGCAAATGCATTACCTTAGATTAGGTAGAAGGAAGTGAAAGGAGGGGAAGGCAGGGGATGTGGGGATAAGAAAGATAGTAGAATGAAACAGACATTATTACTATATGTATGTATGTGACTATATGACCAATGCAATTCTACAATATGTATACTCAGAAAAATGAGAAATTATAACCCATCTATGATATATCAAAGTATATAAGTGCATTCCACTGTCTTGTATAATAATTAAAACAAATAAAAAAAATTTAAAAAAAGAATAGGTAAATGTATTTAGACAGAAAATAAATTGATGGTTGACAGGAGCTAAGGATAGGATGATCTAGGGAGTCACTGCTAATGGGAATGAGATTTTTATGGAGTATAATAGAAATACCCTGAAATTCAGACAGTGAATTCAGTCGGTCGTATAGTCTTCCAAATGTACTAAAATCCACTGAATTGTAAAACTTTAAATAGATGAACTTTCTGGTATATGTCTCAAATAAAAACATTATTAAAAACATTTTTGTTAGTGCTTAGCCAATAGAGAGCCCACTATTAGAATTTTCATATTGTGATCTTCACAAGGAGTTCTGAACACTTTTATAGGAGGACCTACATACAAAAGATCAGTAAACGAAAAAACTATAAATGGATAGAGAATAAGGTCCCTAATGAGTTTTACTCTGTCACACAGAATAAATACAACTCCCACACTATTTTCTTTTTTATAAACTAGAGCTATTTATAGTTGCCACAAGATTTACAAGGAGGGAAAATATTCTCCATTAGGTTTATTATTTATTTAATCAGAAAATTTTCCAGGCTTAGTTCTGAAAATTAAAAACAGACATGCATCTTTGTCATGAAAAAAAGACTAGGTAAGAGCTGAGTTCATTTGGATCATTACTCATTAATAAAATAAGGGGACTGGTGTAACTCTACACCAGGTACAACCAGAAGAATGAGAAGTTGTCCTTCATTTATGTATGATGTGCCAAAATGTATAACTAATTGGAACAAACAAAAAATAAATAAATAAGGGGAAGAGACCAGATATGTATTAACAATCTAAGATCTTAAGAGACTTAGGATCTCACTTTTCAAAAAATGAACTGACCAAAACCCCTCTTGGAATGACTAATTTAACTTTCTCCATTAACCCTGTGTCAAAGTACCTTAAAAATAAAAACTCAAACCTATAATTTGTGTCTTCACTTTATGCCTTTGATAAACAATCAAGTAATAAAAGGAGAAAAAGTAATAAGAGACTTGGTTTATAAATAATATTCTTAAATTAAGATTTCTCTAAAAGTTGAACTCCCAAGAAACTTTCCATATTTCTGTGGTTATGCTTAAAATTCTCCAGTACTGAACACAGCTTTAAATAAGTAAATTAAATGACCTGATATAAAAACTACAAATAACCAAGTCAAAATGGCTTAATTAACATTTAACCTGCTTTCTTCCTCCTCAAATTAATTTCACACAAAGTACTGAGAGACCATATAATGATAGGAAAAATTTACACTTAATATAAGTAAGTTATAATTTATGATTAACTTAAATAACCAATCTTTATACTAAAATTGCTTAGATCCTAAACTACTACAAATGATTTAAAGAATTATATGCAAGTTACCTTAGGCATTCAATCATGCGAGAAGCTATTTTCTTCCGCCGCATCATGCTGAACACCCATATTCGACTGATCCCACATATTGCAGGCTCTGGCAATGTTGAGCAGCACCAGGCTTTCTGCCTTTCAAATCTGACTTTTTCTTCTTCTGACTTGGTAACTGGAAGTTTCTCTTCTATAACTCTGTAGCCCTGACAGATATCAAAATTAAGGAGAAAGTTTTATAGGGAGAATATTAACTGCAATTACCTAGAACTGTTCTTCCAGAGGAGGTAACCACACTTGGTTTCATAACAATTATAAGACCCACTTATGTTTTCACTCTTATTTTTAGGAAATAAACACATCTGGATTTGCATTCTGTTCTACTTGACTTACTAGTTGTCTGATCATGAGATAAAGTCACTTAGTTCCCCTGACACTGGGTTCTTCACCTTTATAAAAACTGGGGATGCCCATCATCTCTCATTAAGAGATTAAATTAAGTAACATGTACAAAGCCATCACTAAATCCTAGTTCTCTCTACCTCCTATATTCTAAGGACCAGAAAAGTACATGTTTACACCAGAGACAATGGTTCATGCCTATAATCCCAACTACTTGAAAGGCTGAAGCAGGAGGATCACAAGCTAGAGGCCAGTCTGGGCAACTCAGTGAGACCCTGTCTCAAAACAAAACTTAAGAAGGGTTGGAGATGAAGTTGGAGTTGTAGCTCAGCGGTAGAGTGTTTGCCTAGATGTGTGAGGCACCACATATAACTAAGTAAATAAAATAAACGTCCATCGACAACTAAAAAAATATTTTTTTAAAAAATGGCTGAGGATGTAGCTCAGTGATAAAGCACTTGCCTAGCATGTGTTAGACCCTTGGGTTTGATCCTCATTACCACAAGAAAAAAAAAGTTCGTAACTCAGCAATAATAACTATTCCTGTGAAGGATGCCATAGCTCAGGCTTCATAGCTAAGAACTAGGTAGAGAGATAGCAGAGAAATTAAGAATTTAAATGGCCCTTTCCTCACACTCTGAGCTCTTTAAAACAAGTAATTAGCATTGGAAAGTCATGTGGGCCAAATTTTATTGTTATATTGTGTGCATGTATGAATATGTAACAACAAATTCCATCATTATATAAAACTATAATGCACCAATAACACAATATGGAAACCAAAAAATTTAAAAATTAAAAAATAACTAAAAAACATATCTCTTCTGCCAATCTAGCTGTCACAAAAGGATCTAATCAGCCTCTTAATGAGATAAGGTACAGAACTTAAAAAGTCGTTACATGACACAATTAATGCTAACATCACATAGCTACCTTCTAGTTTCAAAACTACCTAAAATCATTTGGGGAACTATGTGGAATAGAAATTTCAAAACAATGGCTGTACTATGTAAAATTAACTCGATCTCTGGCAGAATTCTTTACATTCAATTAATATCTCAATACTACTTATCACAAAAAATAAAATTAAAAAAAAAATTAGTAGCTATTTAAAACCAATTTTGTTATCCTAGCAAGATTCATATGAACTATACAATTTCAGAGTGAATATTTAAAACACATAGCTTAATACAGAGAAATAAATTCATGTAGACTTTTTTTTTGGCTTTTAACTCTATTTAAAAACATTATGATGAAGTGTACATTTGCAAGCATTTTTAATATGCTAGAAATACTAAATGAACAACAGCCACACATGATGACCATTAAATTTATAAGGACTAAAAAAAAAAAAAAAAATTCAAAGTGAGGATGACTAGGGAGTCCAGAAGCTTCCATTCTCTTATGTTGGTCTCATGTATTAAATAACATGAATAAAATGTGAGCACATCCTTTACTATGATTTGCCTCATAAAAACAAAACAACTATTCATCCAGAGCTCAACCACTGAAGTAGTGACCTATTCCAGAGGTAGCAAAGTTTCTAGAAAGGACTCAATAATAAATACAGTAGGCATCAAAGTCTACTTAGTCTAGACAAACATGTGAGCAAATGAGTGTGGTTGTGTTACAATAAAATCTTATGTACAAAAACCGGCCATATTTTACCCACTATAGTTTGCCTACACTTGACTGATTCTAGTGCTATAGGGAGTAAAATATTAATTACACTAATATCCAACACAGAGTCTTCAGGAAAAAATCTTAACTGTACTTCTGATTCTACAGAATTATCTAACTTGAGCAACTCAAGAGGATGAGGCAGGAGAACCCGATCCCAAAATAAAAAATTTAAAAGGCTGGGGATGTGGCTCAGTGGTAAAGTGACCCTGGGGGTTCATTCCTCAGTACCAAAAAATAAAAACATAATTTTTTTGTTTTTTTAAAGAATTATCTGGGCTGGGATTGGGGCTCAGCAGTAGAGCGCTCACCTAGCACGTCCAAGACACTGGGTTCAATCCACAGTGCCACATAAAAATAAATTAAATAAAGATATTTATTGTGTATTGTATCCAACTACAAATATATATATATATATATATATATAAAATTATCTGACTTGAAAAACTTAATTCCCATGTAAGATTCAACTCCATTACAGTAAACAATTACACAAAGGAATTCATGCATTCACATTCTTCCTTACCTAAATATAGAACAAATTATCAGGATTATACTACTCCAGATTACATACTAAATGCAGTAAACATCAAACTACTTATGAGCACTCTAAAAGTCACTTACCCACTGGATATGTTCTGCAATTAGGCAGCCAACTACTTTTTTATCATTTGAAATAAAGAGAAGTGTTTTAGTTCTGGAATAGCACATTAATGGAGCCTGTTGGAAACCTAAGTCATTATCAACCATTTCTCTAATCTCGTCAACCTGCCAAATAAAGAACAATATTTATTTTCAACAATAAAAGTATTATATAAATGTAAAAATATATATACATATACAGTTCAACAAGTTGATTATATTATTCCAAGCACGGTATCTTCTAAAAAGGATGACTGTAGTGATGAGTAACTGTTTTATAAACCTCATAGACCACTTAGCAAAATCAGAGAAAAACTGGAAAGTAATGTCAAGTCCAGCAATCTAGGGAAAAAAAGAGGGGTGACTCTACCTCCACTAGGCTAATTTAAAGAACATTAAGGCTGGGCTGGGGCTCAGTGGTAGAACGCTTGCCTCATATGTATAAGGCACTAAGTTCAATTCTCAGTAGTGCATATAAATAAATGAATAAAAATAAAGTCCATCAACAACTAAAAAGAATTTTTTTTTAAGAACATTAAGGCTTCCTATTAGTAGCATCATGGATTTGTGAATTGGATAGAACATCACTGGAATTTCAGCCAGGCAAGTGAGCCGCTTTTCTTCCCAAGTCTGAATTAGCCAAGCACAATCAAGCACAGCCAAGCACAGTAGTGCACACTTTTGTAACCCAAATGACCTGAGGCTGAGGCAGAAGGATCACAAGTTTGAGGCCAGCTTCAGTAACTTAGCAAGACCCTTTCCCAATACAAAAAATAAAAAGGGTTGAGGAAATAGCTTAGTGGTAAAGCACCTCTGGGTTCAATCCATAGTACTACAACAGTAGTAAAGGAAACAAGAGATGGACAGAGGGATATAATTTAATGATACAACTCCTCTGCATTCAAACCCAAGTATTGAATTGCGGGGGAGTGCTCATGAGTAAAATAAAAATGGACACAAAAGAAAGAACTTCTTGTTTATTTCCTATTGAATCAATTATGGGCCAAATATTATTTAAAATACTTTATATATCACCTCATCATCAGGGACAACGGTACATGCCTATAATCTTAACTGTTCTGAGGCTAAGGCAGGAGGATCTTAAGTTCAAGGCCAGCCTGGGTAACCTAGGAAGACCCAGACTCAAAACAACAACAAAACACACAAATATTATTTCATTTAAATCTACCATCCTGTAGAGATTTCTAGTTCCTCACTTTACATTTGGAAGAAATAATTTCCCTAGTCAGATATATTAGACAACTAGAAAATCAAGGAAAAGAGGTATGAACACAAATGTTAACATGGAATCTTCCGGGTTCCTACTAGAACTAGTCAGGGTCAAACACAGTAAGCTGAAGCTTTTGTAGTCCTCTACAGGCGCTCACATTTCCTTCCTCAGATTAAAAAAAAAAAAAAAAATTGCAAATGCTCAGTCCAATTAACAATAATTTGATCACTAAGATTTAAATGCAAAAAACCCTTAAGACAGATCACTATTAGCACTCTGTGCACACAGAATACCATGAAACACAACTTAGAGATGAAAACTCAAATCCTCCTAATCCTTGAAGTCCTACAGTTCCCAACTGAGTTCCTAAAGGTAACTTGCTCACAATTCCATAGATTTTCACTTTTAACCTACTATAGGTTATTAACTAATAATATACTGAATAGCACGTAATCAAGATTTTTTGCCCTAAGAAACTAAAATTAAGAAATTAGCTTTTTTTTTTAAAGCCTATGTTTCTATTTGCTCTAACTACAGTGTCAGACTAAAAAATTTCTCTGGAGTCCTTGTTTTTTATTTCTCCTTTTTTTTTTATGTTTCCTTGGAAATTTCATAAATAAGATGTGAGATGTGTAATTAAGTGGTACTTCCCGTCAAACAAGAGTCCTATTGATATGATGATCAGACTTTAGACTTTTAGTGAGCTTGTGCCTTCTATCCTCACTTTTTCTCTCCATGAGGGAGAAGGAAATTAGAATTTAATGTGAGAACTCTTAGTAAGATATGTCTGCCACATAAGGTAATTGTAGCAAAATTCCTACTGTGCATTTTTAAATAATAGTTAGATTCCAAAAATTCCACATTTTTCATTAGTCAATTATATAAAAAACAAGTATATATTTTTGTGCAAGCATCAAAGTTTTGAATACAAGACAGGTTGGGCCTGTTTTTGTATCATTCTAAATGCTACTGTCTATACTGTAAAGCAATGCAGGGGCTTATCTGGTTATTTGGGGTTGCCCAGTTAGATATACAGGGGATCTGAAAAATCAGAATCCACAAAATAAATTTTTATCTTAAGTAGAATGCTAACTACATTTTCAAATAATAGGTGTTTTCCTTCTATGTCTTTTTCAGGTAAAGTATTCCTAAATTTAGAGAGGTCTAATTGTGAAGTTAAACAAAATTCAGTAAATAAATTATTTTCATTATTTTTTCAGATAAATTTTTGACACACCCTAATACAATTAAGTTTTTCAAATAAATGCCTAAACCCATTACTTACATTATGAGGTATTTCTGAAAAAGCATCCAGGGGATGAAGAGATATACTGAAAGTGCAATAAATTCTTTTTTCTTGCTGGGGATCAAGCCTAACAATTATCAAATGCTAAGTTAACAGTGTCCCACTGAGATACATCCCATCCCAGGCCAACATACTATTTAACAGTAAGTTTATCCTATGGTTCCTGACTTTTTAGATACTCCATATGACAAAATAGATACAGGCTTCAATATCTCTTAGTTCATTTCTCAACACAGTAAACTCAACCCTGAAATGAAAGTATGGACCTAAGTAGAACTAAGACCTGGTTAACACTAGAAAAGAGGAAAATTTTAAGTTTTCTACATTGTATTTATAAATTGGGATGTATCTTTTTTATCCTTAAAAATATAATTACCTGGGCTGGGGCTGTAGCTCAGTGGTAGAGCGCTTGCCTAGCACGTGTGAGGCCCTGAGTTCGATCCTCAGCACCACATAAAAATAAATAGAATAAAGGTATTAAAAATATGTATATAATTACTTCATGTTTAATTTCCGTTTTACTATTACCCTACTCTTAAATATTCTTCTACAATAAGCTTTTACTTAGAAATTTACACTTAGAACTGGGCACAGTGGCGCACACCTGTAAAGTCCCAGTAATGCAGGAAGCTGAGGCAGGAGGATAGCAAGTTCAAGGCCAGCCTCATCAATTTAGAGAGGCCCTAAGCGATTTAGCAAGCCTCTGCCTCAAAACAAAAAATAAAAATTTTTTTAAAAAAGGGCTGGGGATGTGGCTCAGTGGTAAAGTGCCTCCAGTTCAATCCCTGATACCAAAAAAAAAAAAAAAAAAGAAAAGAAAGAAAGAAAGAAAAAGAGAAATTTACACTTAGAATGGAACTTCATTTTTTAAAAAATTTTGTAAATTATTATGGTTCAACTTTTTTGGTTTTGGTGCTGGGGATTTAGGCTAAGGTCTCACTAATCATTTGCTCTACCACTGGGCTATTTTCCCAGGCCTCAACTTTGAATTTTAATTCTAATTCTTAAGATAACTTACTGGGCATTATTCATTAACTCAATTAAATAGCCTATCTTTAATTAATCACTCAAATTATTGATAACACTGGACAATAATCAATTCACTTAAAATTCATTTCAGCTGGCCACAGTGGTACATGCCTATAATCCCAGCAACTCAGGAGGCTGAGGCAGAAGGATTGCAAGTCCAAGGCCAGCCTCAGCAACTTAGCAAGATCCTGTTTCAAAATAAAAAATAAAAAGGGCTGGGGATGTAGCTCAGTGGTAAAGTGCCCTTGGATTCAATCCCTGGTACCAAAAAATAAAATTCATTTCACATGTTTTGGATTACCTCAAAGTTTGGCATAATTTTTCAAATTGGCTGTATCCTTTACATTATTATTTATTGTTTTCAGAACTGATGTTTACATGTACTGTGCTACCAATGTGTTATACTCTTAACTTTAGCTGGAAAGTGATATTAATTCATTCTGTATAAAATTTCACTGCAAATTTACCTTTTTCAGGGCATATTTTGGGTCTTCAGGAAGAACCATTATTATCCTGCCATCAGGGTATTCAGCCAGAATTCTTTCTTTTTTCCAGCCCTAGGTATAAAGAAGGATGAATTTTATGTATCATATTTTATTCATCATATTCATGTACAGAAGGAAAAGTACATCAATTTGTCTAAAAAACTTCAAACAACAAAAATATATGCTCATTAATGTTTAATAAAGCATGATAAATCATCTATTGTTAAGCATACAGTAGCTACAATGCTAATTAATATTTATTATTCAGAGACATTATCTACTACCACAAAAACATCTAATTTATCAATTCCATTTTAAATGATTTTGAAAAATCACACACCGAAAGCAAGCCCCTTAAAGTCAGTGACTCCCAGAACCTAAAGAATGACTTTCCCAGATTCTTGATACAAGAATTAAATGCTTAGATTTCTTTGGAACATGGTTACCTCCACAAACACACACTCTTAGTTTTTTGTCTGGCATGCCAAAGACCTCCAGGAGGTTTTAAGTGAACTGATTTGCATGCAGTAGCCCAGTATGAAAGGAATAGTTTTTATTTTTATTGATCACAACTATCAAAGGCACAAGAAGGAGACTATAAAAAAATATAACTACCTTCTAAGAATCTAATAGGGAAGGAGAGGCTACGTTGTGTGTATCTGAAGTTAAACATACTCAAAAAAAGAGAGGTAATAAACTCTTCTTCAGATCCACACTCGTGGTGATTAATGAGCAGAACCTGCATGAAAAAACAAAACAAAACAAAAGCCACTTAAATCTAGTAAGATGGGACTGAACCAGAGGTTAAACTAGGAACTTTGAAGTTCAAAATAAGTACAGAAGGAATGAGCTTAACTAGTTGTTCCATTTGTCTTACCCCACCAACTTTACATAAAAAGGCCTTTCCAAAAGCAATTTGTATTTCTATTTTTTTTTAAAAATGTTTTTTTTTTCTGATTTGTTTTCTTCTAAGAATGCAAAAGCTCAATGAAACCAAGAAAAAGACAACTAAATTTTTTTTATATACTATGGCAACTCTGAAATAATGATGGAATCTAGAATAGTTTTTTTTCTTTGTGTGTGTGTGGGGGGGGAGAATCATTGTTGGGGACAAAAAATTTAGTAACAATCTTGATATATGTAACAATTTAGATTAAAATACTAAAAGCCAGAATTTGTTTACAAAATAAGAACATCCAAAAGTAAAAATCAGATGATTAAAATTACTTATGATTGATAAAATGCTCAAGATTTGCAAAGAAGCACAAACAATAATCAGATGTTCTTTCAGGAACAGGAATCATACAGATCTGAATATAGATATGATTTTAAGATATAAAAAACACCTCTTTAAAAAGACATTTATATTAACAATGTTGCTTTTAGAAAAAGCTTTTAAATGAACCTATTTTCCACAAAAAGAAACTAGCAACTTTAAAAAATTAAATTATAAATTCAATGAAGACCTAGATATTTAAGAAACTTCAAATTATAAGAAAGCCATCCTTCCTGAGGTAAAATATCTAAAGACAATTCAATAAACTATTTTCTTAAGAATTGTCTTTAAAAAAATACTATTCTCATGTCTTAATATTACACACTGTAATACTGTACAAATTACTTTGCTTAACTATTTTAGTATAAAACTTCCTCAAAAAAATATGCATGTTCAATGTGGAAAACTATCACACTGAATTTTTTATAATTTTATGTTTTAAATATGATTCTATTCATTTCATGTACTAAATAAAAGCAGCAGGAACTGTGAGAGGCAGAATTACTATTGCTTAAGCTTCATTTAATGTTTGTGAAGATGGCATATTTTAGTGAAAACTTTTTAATAGTTTCAGAGTAACAGGGTTAGATCCTGTTGCTAGTTACTAGATGTATAGCCTTGGGTAAATCACTGGAACTCTGATTCTGTTTTCTAATCTAAGCATTCTATAAAATAGCTGTTATCAGAGGGTTAAAGATGACTGTTCACAAGAGTCAATGACTCTTATTAACTTCCATTCTGGTACATCAAACTAAGAACAATGCAACTAATCTAACAAAATGCAATCAATAAATATCCCCAATGTTTAAATTCAAATCACAAACAAAGCAAAGACGAAAGAACCAAATTGGCTAATGTCTGTCAAATACTATACTCATGATATTTATGTGCCTCAACTGCAGTTAATACTTTGCTGATCTCAATAACCATAATTCTCCTGAATTTAGAGAATTCAGAAGAGTGGAAGTCTGTCTGCTGCCCGAAATGGAGGCACAGATGGAATGTGTAGGGAAGGATACATGCAATTTAGAGAAATAACTGAACAGCCACAACCGTTTGGCAAAGATGTAAATTCCAATGCAGTTAAGTACATTCCCTCTTCTCGAAGTTAACTTTTAAGGTGTTACATATATCCCTCTGCTAACAGTATTTCCAAAACCTAAATTTTCTAAATTCATTCATCTGACAACTGAAAAGTGAAAAGCTCTACGTTTCTGATTCATATTTCTCATGAGAAGTTGAGGGTTTATTGTTTGTTTTTATGGTGCTGGAGATCAAATCCAGCATGATAGGCAAGCACTCTATCTTTGAACTATATACCCAGCAACCCCTTAATTTACATTTCTTTTTTTTCTTTTTTGGGGGGATTGGGGTATACTGGGGTTTGAACCCAAAGGCATCTGACCACTGAACTATATCCCCAACCCTTTTTACTTTTTGAGACAAGTTCTCACTAAGTGACTTAAGGTTATCACTAAGTTGCTGAGGCTGGCCTCGAACTTGCAATCCTCCCATCTCAACCTCCTGAGTTGCTGGGATTACAGGCATGTGCCACCATGTCCAGCCTAATTTGTATTTTTAACAGAAATCAATGTTACAATGATATTTTTTCCACCCTGTTGTAGTGACTCTAAATTTTAGAGCCTCAAAAGAGAAGCAATTTCTCCTTTTTTCCATCAAAAAAAGATCACAAATGATGGAGCTAGGGTTGCAGTTCAGTGCTAAACTGCTTGCCTAGCATGAGTGAGGCACTGTGTTTGATTCTCAGCAGCTCATAAAAACAAATAAATAAAATAAAGGTTAAATTCTTTAAAAAATCATAAATGAAAACAACATATACTGGGTGGTGAATACACTGGTGTATAAAACTATCAAAATTCAACCAAACACTTAAGATCAGTGCATTTATTTAATTGTGTGTAAATTATACCTCAATTTTCAAAGTTCCTAGCAATCACCTTCATAAAGGCTGACTGAAACTACATATTTGAAAGAACACCCAGAAGTAAAAGTTACACAAACTTAAAAGAAAAAACAAAGTCAACAAATACTGCAAGGGAGGATAAAAGAAAGTGATTGAAGGAAAAACCCTTAGATTAGATTAAGAAAGACCGAGGGTAGGGAATGACTTAAGGGACATATTGACCAATGCAACATTACTTTTAACAAACAATATAAAAAAATTGAGATATTTGTGAAGTTTTTAACCCCAATGGAATACTTGATATTAAGGAGTAAGTTCACTAAAGCTTCTCTATGTTTTTAAAAAAAGAATAATCTTCATTAAGTAAAAATGTCTAACAAACTGGATGCCTTGGCGCATGCCTGTAATCCCAGCAGCTCTAGAAGCCTAGGCTGGAGGATCAGGAGTTCAAAGACAGCCTCAGCAATTTAGTGAAGCTGGGCTGGGGGTGTGGCTCAGTGGTTTCA